CGCTCGGAGACGGCGGGGCGGGGGCGGGCTGAGAGGAGGCAGCAGCAGATGCTTTGGGAAAGGTTTGGAGCGCACCCCCAGGGCTTGGAGCATGGGGGCTTTGGGGGAGATCCCCGACCTGGGGATGCAGCCAGGGCCTGGGGAGAGAGGAGCAGAACAACGAGGAGGTGGCCCTGACTGCGGAGGGGGGAGGTGTGACCTAGCTGCCGTGCAGGCGCGCATCCTCCCTAACCCGCTTCTCATGTCCACCAAAGCCCTGGCCACGCTGATTAATGGTTTTACAATTAGAGGTAAAGTCTGCAGGAATTCTGAGAGCTGTGATGCTCCTCAGTAGCCCTCACTCGCTGCGGAGGGAGGTGCAGGACGTTGCAGGTGGCCTTCCCTCCTCTGTCCCCACCCTGTGCCATCGCAGCACCATGTCCCCCAGCCTGTGGCTGGTGAAGACCAACATGGTCAGAAGCAGGTACTGGTGGGTTTCCATCCACAGGACAGCCACCGTATTTGCTTTTGAAATTCAGATGACAAAGACCCGTGCTTTGTTTCGTAAAGAAATTTCTGTATATGCAGAATTAGTAAAAGTCATTACTTAGAAGTTTCTTGGTCCAAATTCTGGATTGTAATTGTCTTGAAATTACTGTAGAATGAGCCACAAACAATAACTGTTGGAGCAAGGACTTAGTATTGATGCGTAAACCTACTAAAGAAGGTTGCCTCCTGAAGTCACAAGAGGCTCTGTTGTTAAGCCCTAAAAACAAAACGCAATGCAGCTCAACACAAAAGTTAGGACAGAATGACCACCCTGCCTTGTACTTCATTGTCCTTGGGCAGGCTTCAAATCTTCTCTGATGTTCTGCACAAACCCTACTCTTGATGCTTCACGGACTCATGGTCAGAAGCAGGTACTGGTGGGTTTCCATCCACAGGACAGCCACCGTATTTGCTTTTGAAATTCAGATGACAAAGACCCGTGCTTTGTTTCGTAAAGAAATTTCTGTATATGCAGAATTAGTAAAAGTCATTACTTAGAAGTTTCTTGGTCCAAATTCTGGATTGTAATTGTCTTGAAATTACTGTAGAATGAGCCACAAACAATAACGGTTGGAGCAAGGACTTAGTATTGATGCGTAAACCTACTAAAGAAGGTTGCCTCCTGAAGTCACAAGAGGCTCTGTTGTTAAGCCCTAAAAACAAAACGCAATGCAGCTCAACACAAAAGTTAGGACAGAATGACCACCCTGCCTTGTACTTCATTGTCCTTGGGCAGGCTTCAAATCTTCTCTGATGTTCTGCACAAACCCTACTCTTGATGCTTCACGGACCGCAGCAGAGACTTCGTCGCATGCCAGGACGCTCAGTGTCTTGGGGTTATGGTGTACCCGGAAGGGCCGTGAATTCATGGAGAAGGTCTTGCCAGCAGTTTCTCCTTTTTTGCGTGTATTTCAATAGCAGCGCTGCTTAGGTGATCACTGGTTTTGGTTGTGGTGGTGTTAGAGAGAATTATCTTGAGTCGTTTGGGGCTTTGTTGGTGAAAAGCAGCATCTTTTCAGTGATTGCAGGATGGGTTGAGCAAATGTTACCAGCCTGCCTGTAGCGGTAGGGGTGCAAGGCTTGGGGTTTTTTTTAGCCAGTATAGCAAAGGTCTGGGTCTGGATGCTCTTGGACCAGTGTGTGGCACTGGCTGAACTGGAATCCCTTTTATATGTTCATGTGGCTATTCATACACTGCAGGATAGCTGCTTTTGCTCAACCGGAGCAGCTGAAGCAGCCTATATTTTCAGTGTAGACAGGACTGAGCCTGCCAGATCCTGCAGTCACCTTTGTAAGGGGCTTGAGGGGCTTAGCCCGCCTAGAGAGAGCAGCTGCTGACTGTGGGAAGAGCAGCCGTGTTGGGGAGAGTCACCATCTTCTCTGGAGGTGAACAGCCCGGGTTGCAGCCATTAGCACCCAGTTTTTAAGCAGATGCTCTCAGTCGGGAGACTGGGGCGAATCTGGGCCTCGCAAGCCTGGGCTGGGAATGAAGTTGCCTTGGAGATTGGGCAAGATTTTTAAGCACAGATTGAAGAGAGATCCTGATCTCTCCCAGTAATCATATGCAGGTTAACCCCCATCTTGTAAACAGGCTTTCATCAGTTTCTCATTGTGATGAGTCTTCTGTCATTAATGTCTTCGGAGTCTTTCTGTCCACAACAGATCTCTACGGGGATACTCACCGGTAAGTTTAATCATAAACTGGGGGTTGGAGGTGGGGGAGAACAGGGGGAAAAGGATTCTCTTCTCCCCTTGGCCCAGGAAAGTAGGGTTGATTGGGTACTTTACAGCCTGGTAGGGGAATTATCGGAAATGACAGGACTTCTTCCTTTTCCCTGAGGCTCTACATGCTGTCCATGTGTCAAGGCAATTCTTCTCTGCAGACAGCTGGCAGAGTGCAAAGTTTAGTAGTATTTGCCTGCAGATGAGTCAGCAGAAGAGAAATAGCTTGCTCCTGTAAAGTGGAATGATCTTGTAGGCAAAGCAGCACATGACAGTCACATCTGACTGTGCCAACGCCTTCTAAGTTCAGAGGGACGATAGGGGAGCCTGAGAGCTGTGGGTGTCAGAGGGGGGCCCTGGCTGCTCCAGTGTGCCAGTCTCAAACTGACTCAGATCCCTGGTGGGAAACACAGCAGCTTTGGGCTGGAGCATTTACTGAGTTGTTGCAGTAAGCTCTTGTTTTGCACAGGCTTCCAGTTTAAGTAGCAGGATTTATTTGCGTAAATCTGCAAGTGAAAAGCAGTGGAAGTGGCAGAAGAAATCCTGCTAGTGCATGTAGATTTGCAGGTAATGTTCTTTAAGAAATTCCTTGGTACATCAGAACACAAGGAATGCAGATGGGTCAGGTCCTCGTGCTGTCAGTGGGCTTAGGGTGCAGAGATCTCTCATCTGCTTCTCTGGTGTAGTGTGAGGCAGGCAGTTCTCTGACACCACCAAGGCTACACAAAACATCAGTACTGTCCACGAGTATGCAGATGGTGAGATAAGGCTTTGGATAAGCAAGAAGATTTACCATGCCTATTCTGACCACCTCCATCTGCCAGAGGTGTTAACTTTGGTGTTGTGGTTAAATTCCAGCTTGGATGATGGTGTAGTTAACTCAGATTAAGGGAGAAGTCTTAAATTCCTTCCCTGCCTATTTTTTTTTTTCGTGGTGGTAATCAATGCTTGTCCTCCTTCCCTCCCAGAAGCATCTGCTGTCAGTGGGAAATGACTTGGTCTTTGTAGTATCACTCTTAGCAAAGTGCTGGATGATTTCTGAAGGCTGTTATTGCCACAGTTTAAAGAAAATTCCTATTTCTCCCTTTGACCACTTCCCCTCCTTCGTTCAATATCTGCACTTGGAGACTGAGAGGAGCGATTCCCTGATGGGGAGAGCAACTCTTCTCCCACCTGGCAGTCGGCTGCTCCTCACAGAGCCCGTACAACGCTCTCTCGAGGTGAGCTAGCTGGCAGGTGGTGCAAGGCACTTCTTGGATACAGAATCTGCACCGAAGAAGTAAGTTTCAGAAGCAAAGCCCCAAGTGTTTTGTAAAGCGTTGTCAAGACTCATGTGCCCATGGTTTTCCCAAATGGGGCACTTCTTAACTTTGCTCCTAGCGAGCAGTTTTGCATGTTCAGCACAGACTCGGTAATACAGGAGGGTGACACCTTAAACAAAATAGAACAGTGTTGATATTTTACAGCAGGGCTCTTTCTTCTGATTATGCCTGGTTTTTATCTTGGAGTTTTTCAGAATGAGCTTTCCCCTTCCCCATCTGCTGCAAATGTAATTAATTTTAGAACAATCAGTGTTTTACGCATTTAGGAAAGCAAAGCTGTGTCCTCATGTGTTAAGCTCAGCTACAGATGCTGGATCCCATTGTTAGTAAGTAATTGTTTGGGATGCTATTTTTGTCATTTGGGTCAAAATGAAACAATCTAAGATTAGTAGCTTTATCGCAGTCAGGTATAGTTTGTTATTGTTCCCAGTTTTTAATGAAGATGAGCTTGGTGCTAGGAGGCTTCCCGCAAACACAGTAGCCACAGGACAGAAGTTTTAAAGCTTTGAGAAGTGGTAAGATTATTTTTTAATTTCTGCATTAATCTGAGTAATTAGCAGAGCTGCATCACTCATGAGGTGCCCAGCTCAGCTCTCCAGACACTGCAGAGGCTCCTTCAGCAACATATAGCCTATAATGTCGGAGCAGATAGAGCATGTTTGTTCTGTTCTCAAAGCAGGTTTCTCCCTGGGCATGTCAGATAGAGCTACTGGGCAGCTGATGCTGTCTGACCACTGCTGCTTATTTAATGCAAAGCAAATCCATTCACTCAAGCTATTGTTTGCCATCGTTTGACTACGCATACCCTGAGAAGTGGAAAAGTGAGTTAGGGTGGGGGAAAATGGATAGTTGGGCGTGGGAGGGGTTGGAAGAAGCTGTTGGAGATTTCTCCTGGACTTGGACAGTGCTGCTGGACATCAGCATAAAGCACGGTGTTGCCCTGTGCTGTAGCCTGCAGTTCTTCGGCTGGCCCAGATGCTGGTGATAACTCAGCGGAGAGCATCCTTGTGTGCACAGAAGCCTGATTCCTCTGATGGGCCAAGCTAACATGGGAAGAGCTATACCTGTTTGTGCATGTCTGTACCTCAGTACCAAAGCCTCTGCCGGTGCTTTTTACTATTTTGCTGGGCAGTGGTTCAGAATGACTGCATTCCAGGATATTAACAGACTTTTTAATTGTCTCCGAAGGGAAGGAAAGCGCGTGGTCAGAGACCAACAGGTGACTTGAAACAGTGAAATTATTTTGACCAAGTAACAAGAAAATCTGCTGCTGTTTTCCACCACTGTTTCCATGGACGCTGGGGTTGCATGAATCAGAGGCAGAGGTCTGCTGCTTTTTGTGAACGGGATGGTTTCTGATAGGACCATGGTTGTGAAGTAAATAACCGATACAGAGTGTGCTTTCAAGGTGGCACCTTGCAAAACTGAAGAATTACTTGTGTCATACCCTGTCTTTTCACAGAGGCACTCTGGAAGCTGGTGCATTTATAGCACAGATCTTGCCTGAAAGTTAAACGTTTGCTTAAGTGTTTGAAGACTTGGAGCTCAGGGTTGCAAACTCTTTTTGCCTGAGACTGCTTTTGCACACTCCTGTATGTTTGTCTGTTGTTAGGAAACAGTAAAATTAATCATCAGAATGGGGGAAACTCAGCAAACCTGACTTGTAGGCATTATGGAATAAGTGCTGGATGCCTCATGCAGTCCTGAAATGTCCTTGTGACTGCTCTTCACCATCACTTCTGTCTTCTCCCCAATATTTTTTTGGCTCCCCACTCACCCAAGATTCTCTTCTCCTGTTCTTAGTGCATTGTGTTAGGTCTAGCAGAGCAGCGCAGGATACTTAGGGGCGTGTAGCCCAAAACCAGTCCAGCTGTGTTTGGCCCTAATGCTGTTCACAGGGTGTCATCTTGTTGATGCTAGGTGGGGAGAGCGGTATGTTCACGTGTTATTAAACTGCGTTTAACTCCTTGCTTTGGAACATTCCTGGACTTGGAGTCATTTGTGCTTGAGTGAGTCCGATCACTAAATCTGCTTCTTAACAGCTCTCCCATAGCCCACCGCCTCTTGGCTGCTGAACAGCAGAGCTTTGCCCAGCAGCCCTTACTGAGGGCAGACCCAGCTCGGCCAGAGTAGGAATGCTTGGCAGAGGCTCTCTGCCAGGGAGAGGGGTGGCGTTCAGAGGGACATCTGCCCTTTCTCATACCTCGCGCTTGCCCCACCTAACGTGTTCCAGCACACCCACTGCATATGTGGGTGGGGAGACATTTTAAATTCCATACGGCTCTTATTAGGGTGTTGAGGCATGCACGTAAGCATCGTTCCTGGGCGGAGGGGTCATGCTGCTCTCGGGAACGGCAGGTCAGAAGTGCCATTTGCTGCACTGGAGAGCTGCACACTTCAGGTGAGCAAGAGAGATAATGCCGCTCTTTAGTTATAAACTTCACAAATCTAGCACCCGTTTCTAACTCCTGCAGCAGCTGAATAGAGAATGTTTGCCACCGTGCCTTTCTATAAATCCCTAGCTTTGCTTCAGCTGTGTGAAGTGCTGGGCTTCCACATGCTCCAGGGTCCTTCTGGGAAGGTACAATGACTCCAGCTCAAAAGCAAGGCTAGCTTACTTACAGATAGCTGTCATGAGTTCTGTCCCAAACTGGTCGTCTGTCTGTTCATCACAGAAACAGTTTAGCTGAACCACCACTAATTAGAACCTGGTACTTAAAGTGCCAGAAGTAAGTGTGCCCGAATGTGGTGTCAGCAGCTGCTTCACCTTCGGCTGAGTCACCACTGCAGTGGGGACGGGATGAGAGGGGAGCACGGTGGCAGCCATCCCAAGGTGAGCTGTCCCTGCTGGGGAGCTGCAGCTTGGTCTTACACAAACAACAGAGCAAATGGCAAGCCAGCTAGTTATTTAAGTTATGACCATGCGTTGCACCCCTTCCCTCACCCTTGTCCTTCTGCTTAAACCTGCTTCTTCCTCTCTTCAGGATTGTACAGGGATGCAGCACACCCACCCCCTGTCTTGGGGTGATGGGGTGGTGGTGGAGCACACAGAAGGGTAGAAGAGGGTTTGCATTCATCAAAATGAGAGCCGGGGGAGGTCTGAATGCGGACTGGGCATACCTTAATCCTTAGGTTGCTTTTCAGATGCTAAAATACATAATTAGCCTTGTAGTAATGATTTATAACTTGCATTGCAACTCTTGTGTGAGTTTCTCTCCAGCCAGCTGACTGCCGCACGCTTCTCTCTGCAGAACAGCTCTGAGTTGCATTAAATGATTCAGTATTCCCACCAGGCACTGTTTGTCAAGCCTTGGCAGCTGATGCCACATACAACTGGCTAAGCCCCTTGTTAGGTGGCTGTGTCTTTGTGCTGACCTTCTGTACACTGTGCCTGCCGCTGACTGATTCTGCAGTTGAGAAATATCTTTTTTTTTTTTTTTTTTTTTTTTTTTAAATTTTATTTTTTCCCCTCTCCTTCATTTTGTTCCAGTTCTTATTGGACGTGCTTGGCAAGATGGAGCCGCCGACCTCCTCCAGACTGAATTCCAGGAAGAGAAGAAAAGATGGATCTGGCCCCAATGGGGCAACAGAGCTGGATGGAATCCCTCCAAAAATGTCCCGACGCTCATTTGTAAGTAAGCAGAGATAGGAGCTTTAGGAGCTTGTGAGATTAGGACATGGGGCCATAACAGCAGAAAGATAAATGAGATGGTTTTTCTGTGGACACAAAAAACAAGGAGGGGGGCAATGAGCAAATGACAGTAGCTATCCTTCTTGCAAAGCCAGTTTAAAGTTTTCCTTTGTTCATACTAATAACATACTTACAACGTGGGCTTAAATTAGGTCTGAGGCAAGCGTCACTAAGCTGATTTTGTAGTGTCCAGCTTGTTTGTAGTTAAGCTGAACCCGAACAGGCATGCATATAGATATCCATGGAGAAATAAGCATTCACTTCTCACAGGCGGGTTTTCTTAAGTAACCCAGTGGGAGGGAAAAACACTCCAGACAAGCCTGTAACAACTCATGCACCTTGCAGAAGGCAGTCCTGTTCCAGTCAGGGGAACTGCAGGAGGGCCTGAAGTCTGTAAGCACCTGCAGAAGCAATCTACTGAAGCCGTGCTCTGGAACACGGGGAAGGTGACTGTTTGTTTGGTTCTTTTGGTCTGGCAGGAGACTGCGTTTGTGTTCCTGATACTCCAGAAGTGTTCATAAAAAACAAACAAACAAACAAAAAAAGAAAGATTTCTCCTTCTAGATCAACCTTGGGATGGCTTTAACAAACTAAAGCCAGTGTCGTCTCTTCTAAAGGGGGTCTGTGCCGGCTAATGCCAGTGTAAAGAGTTGACTTTAACTTGTCCTTGCCGCAACATTGCAATGATGGGCTTTTTACAGCTCTTCTCTGCCCTCCTCCTGGAGCTGTCCTGCATATCACATGTGCTCTAGTTGCTCTTTCCTTATCTCTGTCAAAAGCCAGCTGCCATCCCTGCCACGTTGTGTTGGGGTCATAGTCCTTGGCAAAATACGGTGACGTGTTGCAGCTTTCCTCTTTGATAAGAACATTTTTGCTCTTCAGCAGTACTTCAGTCTTGTCCCAGGGCATTTGGCAGATGGTAACGAGGTGAGAGCAGCACCAGCAGTGAGAACTGGAGAGACAAGCGTTTGGAACGGAGGCTTGAGGCGTTGCATGATTTATCCCATAGAGCCTTAAATACTTAACTGTTGTCAAAACTCACTCTGTCCCTCTTAAAGACCCCACATATTTCAGTAAGGAAAGAGAAGTGCACAGGTTATTCCATGGGAATCTCTTGCTCTTCAAGTTGGTGTCTGTCCTGTGTTAGAAATACAGCATCTGTCTGTGAACAGCACAAGGCAAGTAATATCTAGCCACTTTCTAAACTTCCTGGCTATTTTTTAGCCGCAGGGCTAATGCAGACCTCCTGATGAAAGATTTCTTTTTAATTCCTTTCATGAAAGGTTTGTTTATTGTAGCAAGAGTAATAGCGTTGCCTAACTGTGACATTACCTTAAAGCTTTTGCTGCTCCCAGCTAAACAGCTGGCTGGCAGAGTGTTCCCCTAGAGCAGCAGGGCTCCGCAGCAGATGGTGGTAGCAAGCCTGCCGACGCGTAATCCTGTCGTCTTGTGCACATCGGGTTGAGTCCTGACCCTTTGTAGGCACTGATGACTGTGGTAGGAACTTTTGAGGGCACTTCTCTGTGATCCCCTGATAATTTTGATAAGTGTTTTAGTGCATTTATTCCTGGCTTTGTATCAGGTATGTGCCAACAAAACTGCATAGGATCTGGTTTTATTCACAGGTCCCAAGTGTAATGGCAGTGATGAAAGGAGAGAAGTGCAGGCCTCACCGCACAGTAAGGATCCTGGTAGAGGAGGTGGTGTGTGAAACGCGGGTACTAGAGGCTCAGTAAGTTAGAGGAGATTTTCAGCAGTATCCGTGTGCTCAACTGTGGTGGTCAGCGGTTGCTTTCCTGTGCTCTTCACTTTGAGCACTCTAATAAGGAATGACATTAGCAGCGGTCTTTCTGGTTGCAGTGGTGCTGGGCACCGGGGCAGGATGCTGCAGTGGCACAGGAAGCCAGAGAGGAAACTGCTGATTAGGTTTTTGCAGCTTGAAGGCATTACTGTAATGACCTGCAAGCTTGTTTCCTAGTTTTCTGGCTGAGGAAAGAGACATCCGTTGCTGCCCCTCGCCTTCCAGCTAGAAGGAAATTGAACTGTTTGTTCTGTTATGGGAAGGGCCGATGTTGTTTCCTTTCAGAGGAGACCAGAAACGATACCTGGACTTCAGCTGCTGCTTAAACGTACTGCTGTGGTCAAGCTAGCAGATCAGAGGGGTTTTCCTGTGGCAGTTGGAGATACTCTGCTAGAGATCAAGGTCAGCCTCTTGCTGTGCATGGCTCAGAAATGGCTGACAATACACACGTTTCCTATGAATTTGTGCTGCTGATGGTATTGCTCTTCTGCCTGTTCAGGTACTCAAATTGAGGAGCTGTTACAATTTGTACATCACAGCACAAGCACTCAGGCACAGCAAAGTGATGGTCTTGCCTGGGTGGGCGTAGCTGGAGCTGCGGCAGTGAGGTTTGGTGAAGCTTAGCTTGTGCTGCTCTGAACTGCCGTTTGTCAGAAGTCTGTCTTTACCAGCTGCAGATCTCAGCCTCTGGTTTTCTTGGGTCCAGTATGACTACCACCTTCTTAACTTGACTTTTCTCTCTTTCTCTCTAAACTCAGGCTAATCACCCTGCAGGGATGTTCTGAGGTTTTACGCTAATTAGTCTTTCAGTACGTGTGTTTGAATCATGCAGAGGCACCGGGAGTCACTCGGTGACTAGGACACTGCAGTGGCGGTGCTGCCGCTGCGTAGTGCACTCACCTGGGCAATCTCACAGCCAACCTTCTCTGGTGGTTTAGGGACTGAGGGAACCGGCTCCGTTTTCAGATGAAGTGGAAATCGACTACAGCAAGCCCTACATCAGAGTAACATATGAAGAAGCAATGAGAGGGACCCCATGTAAGTAAAAAAAAACCCAGACTGGAAGGGTTGTATAAATGCTGGGTTGGGGAGGGACGCGTGTGATTTTGATACCCCTGAGACTGAACCCACCTTGTGTATGGGCCGGGTTTGCAGCCAATGACTTAGTGCTCTGGTGATTAGATAACTTCCCATGTGAAACTGAGCCTGCCATTGCAAATTAAATTAGAGCCTTTGTATGTGAGCAGCTGTACCTTCACCAGTAAGACTATTTGAAGCAAATAGGTATTTGTGTTTTAGCTCTTCCTGTGCCACTGACAGCTATAGAGTAGTATCAGAGTTGAACATTTTTCTGCACTATTTTGTCCGAGGCAGCTTAAAGTTAAGCACTTTAAAAGTCATCTCTTCTGAAACTTGAAATGGGCAAGTAAAACCAACATACGTCTTTGTCCAGAATGTCCCAGTCTAGCCTGCATTTGAATTAAAGTCACATTAGACACAGCAGGCCAGCCCCACAACAACAAGAACATATGCTTTTATTCTCTAAACCAGGCTGGGAAAAGTACTGTTCTCTTTGCGAGTCCAACAGGGAGGCAGAGGCAGGGCTGACTCCTGAAGGATGCCTGCCCTCTCTTGCCAAACAGAGTGTGCAGACAGTGCTGTCTGACTTGGCCTCTCTGTTATGGAAACCAAAACAATAAAAATGCCGCACTTCTACCTACCTGACTGCTGCTGAGAGATGAGCCAGCTCAGATTGAGACCCAGCAGTGGTTTCATGTGAGAGCTTCTGGAAATCCAATGCTTTTCACAGTCCATATTAATTTCCCAGCTGAAACTCTCCAGAGCCTGCACAAAGGTCTCTGATTTCAACAGTGATGGCTCTCCTGACTGCTAAGACTAAAACACACTGCGTGTTTTCTTGTTGCTGTTCATGCCTGTGCTCAGGAACTGTAGCTGCAGCAGGTACGGAGGAAAAGGGAAGGATGTCCCAGCCAATTTCCAGACCATGACTGTACTTTAAGAAAGGCCTGCCAGGACCAGCCCTCTTCTGGCATACAGAAAGCTTTTGCAGTCTCGGATCTCCAGATCCTTGGCTCTCCAGAGCCTCGTGGCATCTTCAGACTGAGCTGGATTTGCTGAAAAGTGATTGTAAGAGCCTGTCCTCAGATGGACTCCTCTGCCCAGACCCATGGGGTTTCAGCTCTCCTCGTAGGTCCTCTCTCTGCCCCTGCCTCGCTGCAGCTTTGGTGTGCCTCTGCTCACACAACTCCTCTGAGCCTGAACTGGGCCAGATTGCTAAGAACACCTGGCTTTCTGTTACCAGCAGCAAGAGGGCTGGAGTCCTGTGTGGTCCTAGGAGACCAGAAGTCAGGGAGCCTCCTGCTATTACGTGGCAGTGCTAGGCTATATCACTTCACCTCTGTCCTGACCTCAAATGGAAGAGCTACAATTTCCCCTGGCAGAGGTGGCCTGAGTAAGTTTTGTTCCTCCTTACTTATCTATGGATTTAGCTGGTGGTGCCAGCGGTTCCGCAGAATTGTATCTGCTTCTCCAGCTGGGTTTTTGGATACAGCCATATACTTCATAAGACTGGGGGAGCCGATGATGCTGCTGGTGGGGAATCAGAACAGTCTGGTCCCTCATCCAGACACGTAGCTGTGGCAGTGGGCTACAGAGGATGCTGAAAAAGTCCTGAGATGCCATCCTGGCTGGCGGGGAGAAATCGGGCACCTATGAAACATTTTGGCCAGTTTCCTTCTGGTAGCTCACTGCTGTGCAAAAAGTTAATGCTGCATTTGGATTGCTGTAGGAGGGAGATGTCCAGGGTTTGCTTTTCCCTGGGTCTCTCTTCACCTTGTTTTGGTGGATATGTTGTTAGATTTTGAATCTGTCTTTGAACATGGTTGTATTTCAGCTCTGTCCTTGGCTGCATTCATTCCCACGTGGGAAGGCAGAGCGCCAGCCATTTCTCTTCACAAATCTTTCCTGGCTATGGCTCTGCATTCTGCCAGTTTTCTGCAATGCCCACATGAGTTTCAGGAGGTCCACAAATGCAGGCACAAGCAGCAGCTGCTTTTCCAGGAAGACATCTTCACAAATGTCTCTCTGTCTCTTTGGCACAGTGGATCGCCCTGTCAGAGTTTATGCTGATGGAATATTTGATTTGTTTCACTCTGGGCATGCCCGGGCCTTGATGCAAGCGAAGAACCTCTTCCCAAACACATACCTCATTGTCGGAGGTAAGGAGTGACCTTGTTGACTTTGGCTGTCGTAAGAGTACGGTTTACGTCTGCCTGTGGTTGTGCATACAGATGGCATAGCAGGGTTTTTGTCTTTATGGCCTCAGTGGCTCTCACTGCAGCCAGTTATCCCAAATGTTCTTGGAGTCTTACTGCAATATATTAAGAATTAATGCGCCTGCAGAAAGATATCCTGTACCAAACGAGTGCTTAAGGAAAAGATTTCTGATCAGGCTGTTTTAATTTGACCCTTCTGTTTTTTGACAGATACTGGTGAGTTGCACATCTGAGTATCAAAATATATTAGGGGCAGTTGAGCATCTGGCTCTTGAATGAGACAGTTAAAGAATGACACATAGATCCTCCGTGGCTGGTTGAGCTTTGTGTCACCTGTTGGCCTTGCAAGTCACTCCCCCACTCCAGCTCTCTGCCCGGGATTGCTTATGGTTAATCCCAAACAGGTCCCACTAGGAGCGTGGAGATAACAGTGGTTTCATGGGCATGGTGCCTGGCCACATGGACATCAGTGAGGCCCCATTTCTCCAATTAAAAGTTCCCCATTTTGTCTGTTAGGTTCCAAAGTCTTTAGATGATGCCAGGAATATCCTGCTGACTGCCTGAGGGGATCTAGCAGAGGTGCTTCAGCCAGGCCTCCTTCAAGAATATAACCGGGGAAAAAAGAAACCTTTTCTTCTGGCTGCGGTAATGCACTGGCCTCTGTCCAGGCAGTGCCTGTGCCCGTACCTTCACCCACCTTAAAGACACATCAGGCTGTGCATGTTGTCTGTCAGGAGGTGACCTCTGGTCAAGCTGCATAATGATGTTAAAATATCAGAGCTGAGAATACATTTAACTAGTTTTCTCAACGACCATTAGCTTTCTGAGGCAAAATTAAACTCTGATCCTGCGCTAGAACGATCATAACATCTTTGTGTGGTTTGTTTCCTTATCACAGTTTCACTCGATGCTGAGGGCGTTTTTACAGTGGTACTTCTGCATTTTTTGTGTGTGCTACAGTAGTGTCTGGAAAGGGGAAGGGAGGGAGGAGAGCTGAAAGAGTTGCTCCAACCTACAAAAACACTGTGAGCTTAGAAATCTTGCAGGCAGAAAGGCATCGCCATATACATCAATGTTGTACATGAAGCAGGAAAATAACTGCAGGTCAGACTATTAACACGTTAATGTAACGAGGTGTATAGCCATGCGCTCTGCTTCTGGGAGCGTGGTGAGGAGGTGAAGGGCAATGAGCAATTCCCCCTTGCACCGGGAACTGAGACAAGAGGCCACAGCCCAAGTGAACGTAAGCTCCAAGCTGGGAGCAGTCTCACCCACTCTTTATCATCTGTTTGTCTAGAACATAAACACGTGCAATACCAGTGAGACTGGTAATGCCTTGTTTACTTTTGAGCCTGATAACCAAATAAAACTCCCTCCTTCTCGATGTCTTAACATTGCAGATTATGAAGAGTTGTTCATTTACTTTCTCATAGAACATAATAATTAAGCTAACTTGATTTGCTGTGATCTCGCTCTCTGTTTTAATACAACTTTCCAAGAACTAGACTGTGGTATGGCATTTTATGAAATAAGGAGCTTAGGGAATGGGGTTTTTTATGGGCTTCGGTTTCCAGGCCTGAGACATTCATAGGTTAATAAGCAGGTTTCTGCCTGAGAGCGCCCCAGGTGCCATTTCATACAGGCGAGTTGTCTTCTGTATTGGCTGGGCTTCTTGGTAAGCATTATAGGCTCTAGAGACCTTGAGGGCTTGGAGTGCATGGGCAGAAATCCTCCAAAGAGCCTGCCTAGAATTGCTGAGGAGTTTAGTGCCCTGCACCGCTCCTTGTTCCTGGTGCTTTGTAGCTGGAAAAGCCGGGTTTGAAAGTGCCAGCACCAGCTTCCATCAGCAGCTGGCATGGCCTGGTTTAGCAGGGAGGTGTGCAGGGTCCTCTGCTGTAAAGCACGGGGGTAAGTACCTCAGGCTCACTCTTCTCTGTGCCTGTTTCTTCAGTCTGCAGTGATGAGCTAACCCATAACTTCAAGGGCTTCACGGTAATGAATGAAAATGAGCGGTATGACGCCGTGCAGCACTGTCGCTATGTGGACGAAGTGGTGAGAAATGCACCGTGGACGCTCACCCCCGAGTTCCTGGCAGAGCACAGGGTAATTTGTGACATCTGATCTGTTCTGATCCGTTCCGAATTTTGATTAGCCTCTGTTTGTGCTTGCTGTTTACAGCAAGAATTCGTTCATGGGGGTGACCTCTGCCTGAGCAACCAGTTTCTGTTGCAACTCCTTCAGTATAGAATGAACAGGGTTATAGGAATTGAGTGGGTTTCTTGGGAAACGAGAAGCATTTGCTGAGCTGGCAGATAATGTTAAAATAAGGTAGAGATTGTGACATGGTGAAAAAGCCTGAGAGGGTTCTCGCTGTTCCAGGAGAAGCTGATGCTGGTTACAGATTGGTGTGAAACACGGTAGGGAGAGAATAGCATGGGTTGGAAGGGATTTCTGGAGCGCATCTGGTCCAACTCCCTGCTTACAGCAGGAGCAGCTTAGATCTACATCAGTTCCCCTGCAGCAGGAGACCAGGCAAGCTGTCTTGAGAGTCTTTTATCAGTCAGTAAGATAAAGTGAAAGGAGTCTCTAACATCTGTTGAACTGCTTTGGGAGGTGAGGGAGTCTCCAGGGAAGCTTACTTAGTTTACCCTTGTTGCCATTAACAAGCCATTTCTCTGTGGAGCTTAGAACAGCTGTGGCCTTAGTCCCAGACTTTCCTCTCTGGTGTGTGCTTACAATTGATATGCAGTTGCCGGTGAGAACTTGGGACTGCTTTGTGTTGCTTCTTAAGAGAGGAAAGTGCCTTGCTGTTCTCTGTCACACCCCTGTGTGGAGGTGTTGAGCAAAAAGTTACCATCCTTTGACAGAAAGCGGGAGACCTGCATGTTCAATATAAAATGTTGACTCGCGTGCTTTCTTAATTTTCAGATCGACTTTGTTGCACACGATGACATCCCCTATTCTTCTGCTGGCAGCGACGATGTTTATAAGCACATAAAAGAAGCAGGTGGGTCTGGGTCAGATTCTCCAGGGCTTCCTGTCAAAGGTCTCCTGTAGTTTCTCCTGTGCCCCTGCATGGCAGGATTATGCCTGGGGAACTGGCATAGGTCTGCCCAGGAGGCTGAGGGCAGGAAGAAACCCAGCTTTGGGCTCTACTTCATAAGGCTAGGACTGTTCCATGTCCCAGGCCAAGCATTGCCCAGCATTAATTCCCACTTCCAGTCTAGTTGCTGTGATTAAATTAACAGCCACCTTTTGAAAAAATACTACGGTTTGGCTTACAGATTCTCACAAATGAAGAATGTCATTAACTTAGTGGCTCCTCTAGCTGTCGGAGCGCAGCTTATTTAAATCTATCCAAACCCAGCCAACAGAGCAAGTGAAGGTCTCTTCATTAGAAGGTGTGGTGTTTTTACATGCTTTGGTCTTACTTAGGACTTCTTTGTAGTCCCAGAAAGGAGAACTCTCGTACTATATATTCAAGGACAAAGACGTGATGGTGTGAGGACAGTTAGGAAATGAGCTCTTGACAGGAGGGACGGTTTCCTAATAGAGGTGGAAGCAGCTTTTTGCCATGTGTCTTGCTACAGCTGTTCTGGGTCCTGTTCCCCAACTTTAGGCATGTTTGCACCAACTCAGAGGACTGAAGGGATCTCAACATCAGATATCATCACCCGGATCGTGCGGGACTATGATGTTTATGCCAGGCGGAACCTGCAGCGGGGCTACACAGCTAAAGAGCTCAACGTCAGCTTCATAAACGTGAGTTGAAGTCTGTCTCACCGCAAGCTGTGTGAAGCAGGATCTTGCAGAGTGTTGAGGTATAGAGTCTTGTCTAGTGGTAGCACAGAACTGCCGTATGCCAGTAAAAGGCCAGTCTGCAGAGCTAAGCAGTTGGACCAAACCAGTGTCCTTGGAGTAGAAATTAGACGACTACTGCCCTTGAAACTGCCTCTGGGATGCACCCAGAGGAACTGGGGTTTTGCTAATACTGCTCCATTGTCAGAAATGGCTTGGTGACGTTTTACCTGTTGAAAGAGCTGGAGACAGGGTGTGTGGCAAAATGTGTGTTTTCTTGAATTGAGCGAAGTGTGGGTTGTTCTTGGCAGCAGCTGCTGTGTCTCATTTCTCTCCTCTTCCCTCAGCCACCTTCTTAAGGTAGAGTCATTTGTTAGGATAAAATCTGACCCTGTTCTCACTGTACTGCACTGGAGGTGCAGGAGCAGCAGTGCTTGGGTAGGAGAGAAGGACATGCTCTGATCCTGTGCTGAGCAGCTCTAGCCCACAAGCAGAATACATGGCAGAAGGCACTTCTGATGTTGAAAGTAAAGTAGTAAACTTTTTATCAGTCATGCCTATTTTTTTAAATACAATAGAATAAAAAAATTAAACAGGAGAGGTAACAGCTGCTTGGCCTCTCTTTGGCCTGTAACTCTGCCTTGTGTTTAAAAATGCCCAACCAAAAGAACTTGTGCTATCGTGATATGCAAAGAGACTTACAGCAGGTCACTCAAATCTAATCTGTATATTGTATAAATATTTCCCTCTTCCATGCACTCCTTTTAGATAGTGCTTATCTTTGGGTTTAGTCTTGCTCTGTGTATTGTGCCAGTGCCTGCCACAAAGCAGCCCTGCTGTGTCTGCCATTTAGTCTAGGGAAGAAATGTCACTGAAGTGAGGGAGAAGTGTCACAAGGCTAATGGAGATGCTGAGTCTTAAGCAGCAGTTCAGCGTAGTAACACAGAGCAGAGGTGGTCACCACTCAGATCTGGTGAGCTGTATTCTGATCCACCACTTACTGTACAGGAGAAGAAGTATCACCTCCAGGAGCGCGTGGATAAGGTGAAAAAGAGGGTGAAGGATGTAGAGGAGAAGTCAAAGGAATTTGTCCAGAAAGTGGAAGAGAAGAGTATTGATCTCATTCAGAAGTGGGAAGAGAAGTCCCGGGAGTTCATCGGCAATTTCCTGGAGATGTTTGGCCCAGAAGGTGCATTGGTAAGGAGCCGCTCTGGGAAAAGGGGATTTTGGAGAGCTTGGCAGTCATTGTAGGGCTTCTGGAGCCCACACTCTGCAAAGCAAAAGTTTACGGTTTGTTGCAGTGCTCGATGCACTGTTGGTCTCCAGACAAGCTGTCCCAGGCTTGGGCAGCCTGTTTGCAGGCAGCCCTCACCCTTGCCAACTGGATAGCACCGGTTATGGTTGTAGCATGAAAAGTCCCCATGTCCCGCAAGCCGGCCTGGAAAGTCCAGCTTGTATCCTGCAGGCCACTGAGCAGCCGAGAGATTGGCAGTCACTCTGTCACTGGCCGGGGATGAGTCTGAAGCTGCTTGGTTTTGCCAGGCTCGCCTGTGCTGCCAGGTAAATATCACAGGCACTTCATGTTAGAAGTGCTTGAAAATGGGTGATGATTACAGTGTATGCAGTTTCCAAAGCCTAGAGTGATGCTTGGGCTTTTTCTGCTCTTACATTGCACAAGGCACTGAAGGAGCACAAGAACAATGCTGCACAAGCTGTAAGTAGTGTCCATTTCCATCGCTGTTTGAGCCATGCTAACTGTCTTCCTGCTTCCATCGCTAGAAACACATGCTGAAGGAGGGCAAGGGCCGGATGCTGCAGGCCATCAGCCCAAAGCAGAGTCCCAGCAGTAGCCCCACACACGACCGCTCCCCGTCTCCCTCCTTCCGCTGGCCCTTTTCAACCAAGACTCCTCCTTCCTCACCGGCCAACCGCTCCAGGAATGAGTCTACAGTCACCTATGACATCAGTGAGGATGAAGAGGATTAAGCTACCAGCTGGGATTTGCTGCGAACCGCTAATCGCCGAATCCTAAGTTCAGACCCACTGGGGAACTCTAAATGAGCAAGAGAGCCATAGGAATAGGGCTGACGGTGAGCACAGGGCCTTGAAGGCACCCGTTGCTCTTAGCAAGGGCTGCTGCCTGGAAGCACATTCAAACCTCCTCTCCCTTTTCCTCCCCAAATCCCCTTTTTATTGTTTACGTTCTAGTGGTTTCCAGGGGGAAGATGGTTTTTATATTTTAAGAAAATACCCTTTTGAAGCGCAAAGAATAGCACTCAAGCGTGGCTTTTGTTTTGGTTTCTTTTCCCTTGTTAAACCTCCGGGCAAGAGGGAGAGTGGGAAGACCCATCTGTCTCTTCTTTCCTTCAGCTCCTCTCTCTTACTCCCCCCACCCCCAGGCAGTATCCATGCTGCTGCCAAATGAAAGACCCCTTGGTTCCTCAAGCAGCGTGACCGCGAGAGCACACAGGCAGCGGTGGTGTAAAGAGGCTTCTAGGAAATAGAGACATCTCTGCTGCGCTGGAGACGATAGGAATCTATCCAGCAGGCCCTGTAGTGCTCGTGCACCTCTTAGCTGAGCTTCCCAGCGTGTCGCAGTGAGGATGTGCTGGGAAGGGGGCCACCAGCTTAGCACGCAGGAGTTGCACCCTGGAAGAACTCGCAGTGCCATAGGGTCGCACACACCATAAGCGTGCAGCATTTGCAGCTCCACATTGTATGGGGGCTGCAGGGGAAAGGCCTTCCCAGCTAATCTTAACAAGACTGATAAACCTTGAGCTAAAATTCAGCCCCCAGTTGCTGTCGGAGAGAAGAGAATGAATCTTTGCTTCGGGGCACTTGCTGTCTGTGCGTTTCCTTGGGTGTGTGAGAGCCCAGGTAGGAAATGAATGTGTGTACTCTTTTGAGAAGTTCTTGTCCCAGTCTCTGGTGTGTAATAAGTTTTACTGTCTGTCCAAATGGCCCCTCAACACTGTGCTCTGTGCGTGTTTGTCTGTGTTTCAGTTGCTGTGCTCTAAGGGCTGGAGCAGTCCTTTACACTGGTGCCGTGAAGTCGCTGCTGTAAGGACACAAAACATGAATTCGTACAGCCAGTTTGCTGTCCGTGTTGGTGTGTGCAGCTGGACAGATGAAGGGCACGTTTTACCCCAGTGAAGGGTCCCGGTTCCGTGTGACAGTTACCTGGCTTGTGCAATAAATGCACAAATCTCTGCCCGCTTACTCCGTTCCTTGAGGCAGGCCAGAAAGAGCATCAGAGAGTGCTGCAGCTTTTTAAGATTTTAAACGTGTAATCTGCTCGTTTGAAACCATGGTCCAAGTCGTGCCTGCTGTCATGTCTGTAATAAACACTGAGCTTCGTGGCCTATGGCTCCCCGCGGGCGGTTGCCCTCCCCGTGCCGCATGCCTGCGCACAGAGCACCCTGTCCCGGCAGCCAGCACTGGAGGGACCGGACTGTCTGTCACGTAGCTGTGAAGCTCCCACTTGCTTTTCTGTTCAGGTTTGCCTGTGATATGCATTGTCTCTGGGTGGAGCTGCTGGGCTGAGTTGCCTGCATCTTCCTGCCATGCTGGGAGCAGAGGACGGCTTGGAGCCTGGTCAGCAGTGCTGCAGGGAGGTCTTCAGAGTGGGATGCAGGGCTCGGGGAGCGGCAGGTGCAAGGAGGCAGATCGTCAAGTGGCTCTGCACGGTGCGATGCTTCCAGGGGACGCAGTGGCCCTGAGGTAGGAGCAGGCTGCCGCTTTTCCCAGCTTTTATGTCGCTGATCCTTTGTCACGCTGCCCAAAGGCCTTGACAGAGACTCTGTGCTTCTGTTGAGGCCAGAGCCAGTATGGGAAAGGGTCTTTTGGGGATTCCTCATCTGCCACTTGCACCTCTCCCAGCAGGGACATGCACGGCTCTGGCAGCGTGGCTGGCTGCTGTGGACTTTTAAGTTGCAAGGAGCAAAAATTGTCACTTGGTACAAGCCAGTTGTTAATCCCCTGGTTTATCAGTGGTAGAGCACTTACTTCATATCGCCCACATTCTCTCTTCCCTCGTCTTCCCCACCTTCCCTACCTCACTCTTCCCTCACTATGGGCGTTGCATTGCTTTCCCAAGCCGGATCACAAAGGCCAGGCTGCTCTAGAGCCTTACTACTGCTTTAAAAACGAGTTATGCAACAGTATTCTGTAAATTTGGATAACAGTGGTGTTTTGGATGGTGGTTTGTTCTGCAGAGACCTTAATGTATTTCTTGGTCTCTCTGCAAAACCTGGGGTGCTTGGTAAGAAGCCAGCCATGGTTTTACACATAGCTTGGAATAACAGAGCTGTTTCTTGTAACCAGTAATCCCTGCTTCTTCCTTGCACTTAAATTAAATTGGACACTCAAACCCCAGACTAGTCTTTTTTTCTTTTTTTCCTTTGTTTCCTTCTGGATTGCTGGACCAGCCTCATCTCCAGCATTGCCCTGTCCTATCAGGAGTAGGACAGAGCTTGATCTTTGGGCAAAACATGTGAGCCGAGTTCTCCAGGAATATCTTGTTACCCACAGATACACCCAGTGCTGCTGTTTGAGGGCTGTCACCCCTAGCCCATCCCACACTCTTCAAAAGAAGCATCCGGAAGAGAGATGCTTGAATTAAGCATGAAGTAAGAGGCTGAATGGAAAAATGAAACTTTACTGGCATGAATTGGAGAATATGCGGAGTTTGATGGTGCTAAATCCAGAGGCGTCGGCTTCTGCGAGGCAGCCCTACATCAGTGCCTCTCTAGACCTGGGGCATGAGGCTGCTGGCACCAGCAGCCAGCCCCGGGAGAGGGTTTGCTGATGGCAAAAACAGCAGCAGCAGGGCAACGCTGGAAAGTGCCAAGGAAGCTGGTGGAAGCAAGACCTGAAGAGTGTGGCACTTCACAGCATGTTGCTTAGAGCTGTAGGAGAAGGTCTTTAATCTCTTGAGGAAATGACAGCACACACCTACACTGACATGATTTTGTGCATTTTATAGAGGGTTGGGACCTTATTGTGCAGTCCAGTTCTTGTAAGCAGAGGCAGGTGCTGGAGCAGCGAATATGCCTGGCAGTAGCAGTGACTTTGGTGGGACTGAGCCTGCATCTTGCCCCCTGCCCTCAGGGTGGGCTTCTTGCTGCCAAGGGCTCCCTGGTGTAAAGGTGTGGGCTTCCTACCTGCTGCAGGTAAGGAGCTGAGGCTGATTCTCTGATGAGAGATGAGTCCCATATTTTGTTCCTTTCCTGGGTGTTGCTTCTTGGCAAAACGTGTTTTCTGGGTCCCAGCGCTTCTGCGGGTGCTAGGAAGGCGTGTTGGTAATGGCCCTGTACTGTGGCCAGGAGTCTCAGAATGAATTGCCAGCCCATCTTCTGGCTGAGCCATTTTGCTTTGAACACAGCCACCTTTAAAAAGTTCTGAGTCACTTTTTCCCCCTCTCTTCATGGAACAGAAAACTTGCTTTTTCCCCAGAATGAATCAATTAAATAAACAGAAGTTGGGAGCTGTGGCTTTATGACTCTGCTTCCCCAACATGTGGCACTGGCTGCAGGTATTACGGTGGGAGGGCACCAGGGTGCAGATCAGGGGAAGCTTCAGTGGTGCCCAGCAGCAGGCTCTGGTCTCAGTGCTGATGATCTGGCATCTGCTGCCCATCTCCCAGTCCTGCCATCACCTCCAGCCCCACAGAAGTGGCTGCTTCGAGCTGGCTCTTCCCGGACAGCGTTTGCTGTGCTGGTTTCTCTGTACAGGCCCGTGTGTACACCGTGTGTCTTACTGGCTTGTTCTGGAGTTGGGGTTTTGGCTTTTATGTTTAGCCAAATAAATGCAAAGTCATTTTACTCTGTGTGTGCCAGATCCCTTCTGCTGCCCTAGCACAGCCAGCTCCTGTCATGATCTCCTCACCTGCCATCTTAGCAGTGGTTTGAGTGAGAAGATGGGGGGTCAAAAGATTACCCAGTGATTTCTGCAAGTCATCATCCCTCCTGATGTCTGTCCCCACCTCTGTTGTAGGTGTAGAGCAGATCCCGGGCAAGGCTGGTTAAGGCAGCATTAACTAATTGCCTGTGTTATGAAGGTCCTCCTCCCTTTGCCTGGCCCCAGGCTGGCTGGGGGGGGGGGGGCC